TTTCTTATTCCAAATTATATTTCCTGAAACATTTTCACTTGAATTTCTTCCTCATGATTCTTTCCACCTCATTGTTTCCATTATCTTCCCTCGATTTTCTCATTTCTTCTTCTTCCTCCTGTTTTCTGTTTTGTTTTCAAAATCATCGAACAAAAATGAGAGAAAATTCAGCAGTACATAGAAACATGAAATTGTAGCATGAAAAGAAGAAGACTGAGAAGAGAGAGAGAGAGAGAGAGAGAGAGAGAGAGAGAGATGAGGATGAAAAACACAGAAATTCCGTTCTCATTGAAAATCTTTGTACTCTCATTATTTTCTGTGGTTGTTACATGGTTACTTTAATGACGAAGAAACAGTTACGATTACAGTTCAATTGCTTTTAAATCTCTTTATCTTTCAATATGATTTTACCTCGAAAGGAAAGCTAACTTTTCGAATCTTTTCCTCCCTTCATATTGTATACGAAAAGTAAACAAACTTGAAGACAGCAAAAAAGAGTTCAACTTTGTTCAACAGAATCAACACTAAATTAATCAAATTATTTTCATTCGATATGTCAATAGCAACTGACTGTTTAACTTTTTCATCTAATATCTTATACTAAATATACTTTGAAAACTTTTTTTCTTCACTTTCACTGATTAATTTTACTCATCATCACCTAACATCATCTTCTCACAATCCTAATGATCATGATAGTTTCAATTTCAATCGTCTAATTGTAATTATAATAATGATCAATAATAATCAATATGATGATGATGATGATGATCGTAATTTAGTTTATTTCGTTTATTTGATTTTATCTATTCACAATTTCACCATCATTAACTTGTAAAAAATAATTAAATGTTAAATTAACGATCAATCAATAATCAAATCAATGAGAAAAAGAGAGATGAGATGATCAAATTGTTCAAAGGTAAACTAAGTGGAAGAAGAAAATTTTTTCTAATTTCTTTCTCCTTCTCTTACTTGTTAGTCTCTTTTCTTTTGTTATTTATCTTTTCTTTCTGGTCTGTATGATTCTCAATTCTAATCGATTACTAAATCTTGTTTCTCTCATCATCCTCATCCCCATCTTCATCTCTCCATCATCATAAATTTTCAACAATTCACCCTTCCCTCATATGTTGATTGTTTCATAATTTCTCTCTCTCTCTCCGATTTCTCATCCTCTTGTTTATCATCATCTGTGTTAATTTCTGTTTAACTTTCAATATTTGTAGTATTTATTAGCACCAATATTAACTAATAATTCGTATTAGTAAACAATCAACATCATTTTCATCATCATCTTCATCAGCTCATCTATTCCTCTTCCTTTTTTTGACTTGTGTTGTTTTTTTTTCTTCTTCCTTCTATTGAGAAGAAAATTAAACATCTTCGGGATGTTTTTCTATGTGTAAATAATGACCTGGTGATAAAAGAAAACGAAGGAGAAATTATCTCTCTTTTCCTTGTGAAAAGGTAATAAATTATTTCTGGTTTTACCATGAGTGAGGTGGAAAAATTATCTTCTGAAAGGGATGCCCTTAAAAAGGAGATTGAAAGGCTTCAAGAGGAACTCACCTTTCAGCTAAAGAGAACACCAATCTGCTGAGTTGGGCCTTCATTTGTTGGATGAAAAGATAAACTTCAAGTGCGATACGATGAACTGGAATCTTTACACGAAGCAACTCGAACAGAATTGGAAGCCTTGCGAAATGCTTTCGCATTTCAGACAAGTCAAAAGGTATCAGCGGACAGAGGGATCGAAGAGGAGAGTTTACTTAAGAATCTGCATCCAAGGAGGCCAAGTTTGCGACCGCTTTACATGAGCTTGAAAGAGAATTGAAGTTGGTTCGTTCGGAATTGGCTCGAGGAAGCAGAAAAGGAAAGGTTACTCTCTGAGCATAGCGATCTATCCAAGCAGCTGGAAATCTCAGAATGGGAAGGAAAACATGAGAATAGAGATAAAAGAACTGAAATGAGAGAATCAAGATTATCTAGTGACATGAATGAATTGGAAGATGAGAATATAAGTTTACAAAAGACCGTTTCTAATCTTAAATCGAATCAAATCGATTATGAGACTGCTAAACACGAAGTTCGACGTTTACATGAAGAGATTGAACTAAGACGACTTCAAGTTGAAGAATTTGAAACTTTGAAAAATATCGCCGAAAAGCAGATGAAAGAAGCATTGGAAGCATTAGAATCGGAGAGAGAACAAAAATACGAGCTAAAGAAAAAACTAGACGAACGATTAACCAGTGATCCAATGTTAAACATGACCAATTTTGGCCTTCGATTTCCAGGGTTAGCTGTTTTCGAGAGTCAAGTGTCAGCTGATGCATCGGCCGGCGAGGTACTTGACGAGGAAGGATCTTCACCTTTACTCCACCAATTGGAATCTGATATGTTAAATGCAAGGAATGCATGTGAAGGATCTGAACACGATTCTTATGGCCATGATGGATCAACCTCACAACCTTCATCTCTTTTCGGTGAAGTTCATCTAACCGAAATCAAGAAGCTAGAAAAAGGTTTAGAATTGGCTGAGAACGAGAAAATCAACTTACCCTTAAACTCAGTGAGACTCACAATCTGTTGGAATCAACGAAAGCTGAATTATTGGCTCAACAGTCACGACTTTCCAAGTTAACCAATCATATCAGCAATATAATTAACAGTGAAGGCAATAATGAGATGGTTAATTCATTTGAAACTGAATTCCCTGAATGTAAACAATTTATTGGTCAATTGTGTGATAGAATAAGAAAATCAAAAGAAAGTCCCGAAGGAGAAGATGAACTCAATGAAATTAAACGACAATTAAAAGAATGTGAACTCATTCGTGATAGTCTTACATCGGATCTTGACCTTTTAAACAATTTTGCCGATGAAACAACTTCCGGTTCCATCGCAACCGTTGAAGATCTTAACCGGATATCGGAAAAATTGGCCACCCTTTATTACCATATTTGTTCCGTTAGCGGTGAAGAACCATATCGAATTATTTTAGATCATGCAAATAAATCGGAAGCACCTTTAAGCCTACGAACGGAAGGACTTAAAGATCGTTTAACTGATGAACGAAGTCGTAAACTTTTAGCCAATTGGAAATCTGGAATTCTAGCCACCTCCGAGTGTCGTAAGACAATGGATACCATTGACGATCAGATGAGACACTTGAACAATGCAGTTGAATTGATTATCGAAATGAAAACACCCGCTCGAACCAAAATTACCACCGAAAATAATAATACATCATCCGCCTCTCAACAACATTCCCTTTCCACCAATTCTTCCGGAATTGCTTCATCACCTTCACCCTATTCGGTTGGTGATGCATCGGAAGAGTTGATCAAATTAAAAGCTCTTTTGGCGACAAAGAGAGAACAGATCGCTACCCTTCGAACCGTTCTCAAGGCCAATAAACAGACCGCCGAAGTGGCCCTGGCCAATTTAAAATCTAAATACGAAACTGAAAAGGCCGTGGTAACCAAAACCATGACAAAATTGAGGAAAGAATTGAAAGCGTTAAAAGAAGATGCTGCCACTTTTGCCTCTCTCAGGTCAATGTTCTCTGCCCGATGTGAAGAGTATGTCGCCCAAATCGATGAATACCAGCGACAATTAAAATCATCCGAAGACGAAAAGAAAACCTTAAACTCTCTCCTACGAATGGCCATCGGTCAGAAATTAACTTTAACCCAAAAAGTTGAAGAAATGGAAATGGACCGAGAACGTAATTTACTTTCATCACCTTCAAACAGCGGAGGTAAAAATGCCACAATTAAAGATGGAGCCTACAAGTCAAACTTATCTCGTGGTCCAAATCGTACGAGCTTTGTTCACTCGCAATTTAGGCGGTCCAAGGCCACCTTCATCGCCCAGTAATCATGCATCTAGACCGCAAAGCGGACGAGGAGATTGAAAATCATTAGAAATAAATTATAACTCAAATCAACCAAAAAAATGGATAAATTGTGAAGGGCAATTACAATCACGCTGATCAGAGTCTCAATGAACATTTAAACAGAAAAAAATGCAATCAAAACAAACAACAAATTCTCATCATCATCATCATCCCGAATGTAAAAGAAAAAGTGAAAATCTATTCGCACCCAAAAAAGTAAACTCACTCGAGAATCTAAACGATTAACGGATTAATTGTGGATGATAACGATCAACAAAATCGACAACAATCAAAAGTTATCATCGTTAACCATCTTTACCATCATGATTATCGTTATCAACTCATCATCATGAAACAGAATCAAATCAATTTAAACAGATAAACTGAGTATGAGAAGAAAACAAAAAGCTGAATAGTTTCAATTCAAATGAAAATCACAATCAGACAAAAAAATTGATCTTCTCAACAATTTGCCTGCTTGGTTTACCTCTACTCACCCTGATTTTAAATGTTACCTTTGCCCCTCCCCAAACAAATTGTCACCATTATGATGATGATAATCAACAATTGAGAAAACTACTTGAACTGTCATCATTTCATGTTCATCCCATTTTAATTGTTCAATCTCCATGTCAAGCAAATTTTTTTACAATTCACTTAACATAATCAACTTCTTTATTGTTGATGACAACGTTGATGATTATGAGTATCATCAACTATATAATTATTATTAATTCATTTTAATTATTATTATTATTATAATTATAACTACTGTTCTCGAGGCTTCATCAAGCACGATGTAGGTTATGATTTGCATCAAGTCAATACCGTCCACAGAATCAATTATTAATCAACTGATGATTTTAATTTAAACAAATTGAAAACCAAACAAAAATATTGTCTCTAATCATTTAATCAATTGATTGCTAATCAATTGAACCAAAAACAAAATGGAAAACCTAAAAACAAGATTAAATCATCACCTTAATTGTGACCAAATTTCTCTTAATTAATAATTTTTTGTTTCTCTCATCAACATATAATCAATTTCTAAGTAAACTTAATTAGGATGGAAATTTGGTAATCAAGTTGATAATTTTAATTTGATGTTGATTATTTACTTTTAATTGATTTATTTTGGTATCAATACAAATTTAGTTATAATTGTTGTAAGAGAATCGTTTTTTTTTTCATCACTTTCCTTTTCAAAGATTTGATTTAAACTCAATCAAGTTAATTGTTGGGTGGACCATTTTTTTCCGCTTGTTCCAAGGCTTGAGAAATTGAAGCTCTTTTGTTTTAATTGGAATTTTTGTTTATGTAGTTGTTTTCTTTTCTCCTTTTTTTTTCTTCTTCATTGTCTTCTTGTTTAGAGTGCGATTTGATGAATAAAAAAGCGATAAAATTGTAAGTATGTTTGTTGTGATGAATTTTGAACTGGAAGTTGATTAACTTCTCGGTTAATGAGAGGTGACAGAGAGAGAAAGAGAGACATTAATCCATATTCCTTTTGTGTGTAATGTGTGAGTGTTGAATTGAAAATTGTTTTATATAAAAGTATCGCAATTGTAGAGGAAAAGGAAATAGTCTTTTTCTTGTTATTTTGAATACTTTTGTTTCTTTCATGGTCTTTTTGTTTGTCTTTCTTTTTCTCAAACATTTAGTCAATCGATTTTACCAAGTGCTTTAAGTCTCTCAAGAAGAGGTGGATGAGAGAGATTGGTCGCTGAATAAAGCCAATCGTATACAGGGAATTCAAGATTATCGTTTCCTAACTTGATTAGGGCACTTCTTAGATCAGATGCTCGGTTCATTTTCTTTGCGAAATTATCAGCTCCAAATTCATTACGTCGAGTAAGACAAGTCATCAAAAATCCAACAATCTGTACGAAAGAATTGAGCAAAACAGAAACAGACAGATAATTAGTTTTAAATTATAAAAATAATCTTTGATTATCTAAGATAAAGTCAATTTAAATACCTCATTGTAAGGAGCAAAAATGTATTGAGTTATCACTAAGAGTCCAATTAGAATTGGTTGATCATTGAAGCCAAAAGCCCGATAAATTACTGGATCTTTGTAAAGGAAACCGAAAATCATGAAAGTTAATAACATTTGGACTTCGGCGATAATTAAATTAATGAAAACATGGTTAAGTTTCCAATGACCAAGTTCATGACCAAGAACAGCTAAAATCTCGTCATCATTGCAACCTTTTTTCTTCTTTTCTTTTATATCTTTTCCTTCATCTTCATCAGGTGAAATGTCAGCTGGTGAATCGCCGTTTCCTTCACTTAAAGTTTCAGTTGCTGAAACTTTAGCTGGTTCTTGATTTGATGGTCCATCTTCTGGTATATTTTCCTTATCCTCGTTTGTTAACTCTTCGGTTGATTCACTCATTTTAGGAGGATTTTCCATGAGAGTATCGAAAAGAACAATTCTCTTATTCTTATAGAAACCATATAAATAAGCGTTACTATGAGATGAACGTTTAGATCCTTCGACAATGTAAACTTGGGTTAACGGGAATTTAAGACTTTGTGCCATAACGTTGATCTTTTCTCGAAGTGATCCTTCTGGTAGAGGAATATACTTGTCGAAAAGAGGAGCAATAAAATCGGGATAAACAGTCATCATAAGGAGTACGATAAGTGAACAGAATCCCCATAGGTAAAGGAAGAAATAATCATCACCCTTTTGTATAATCCAAATAATAGCTGGTAAAATGAGACTTGTGATCGCTTGAGAGACGATAAACTTTTTGGCCTGATCTTTAGCGTAAAAAGGTTTGGTTTGCCGGTTAAAACCGTGTTTCTCTTGGATAACAAAGTTTGAATAATAGGACCAGGGAAGATCGATAATTTTTGAGACACAAGCTCCAACATTTACAAACACCAATGTTCGTGTGATTTCATAAGATTTGTCAAAACCAAAAGGTTCCATAAGTGTCAGTGAAAAATTCCATAAAAGTGGCATCAGATCATAGAGTAAAATAATCTAATGAAAAGAAAAAGAAAGTCAGCAAAATCAAACGAAAATTAATCAACTAATTCAAGGCGTTTTTTGCATCTCTATGATCAATAATTGCGACAACTAGTGCTCATAGATTGTTACTTTGTTTGCACCTAATGAACAATGTATAAGAGAAACAATTGTTCACAAGTAGATGATTGGTAATTTGAATTGTACTCTAAATCAAATCTGTCAAATATGAGCACATGTTATGTTGCATTAATACAAAAAGTGATTCATCATAAGTGGAAAAATTATAAATTACCGATGAAAACGATTGACTCCATGCATGATAATATAGAGTAAATTTGGTTCTATCAATACTATAAGCTCTAGCGTTGTTAAATGTTTCTCTATCCATGATTCCAGATAATTCCACAGGCATTTTGGTTGTTCGCAATACAATACGAAACTGTAAACATAATAAAGAAGAGAAAAAGGAAAATCAAAACACAAAACCATTAGAGACATTAAAGACAATAGAATTAGAAAGAGACAATTAACCCAAATGGAAGGTAATTACTAGATCAACATTATTAACGATTTAACATTGATATTAAAAGATCATTGAAGTCAATTAGTTAATTAATTACCTGACGCCATCCAATGTAAGTATCCCAAATAAAAACGATCCATGAGAAGATGAAAATTGCCCAAAAAAGTGTTGGTGGATTCCAATAATTGTCACGTAAATTGAGAAAAGTTTCCCTTGCAAAGTCAAACATGTTCAGTTTGAAGAAAAGAATCAACTAATTAACTAATTAATAATAGAGTAATAAGAAAAAATCAGACACAATTGAATGAGAAAAAATCAAATTAAATGACTAATTCAAATAAACCGAAAAATTAATTTTTCCAACAAAAGAACAGCTTGAAAACCGGTTGGATCCCGATACCAATTCTCTTGGATTCGAATCTTTGTAGAGCTCAACGAGCTGATCTCCTTTCGGTTGACGATTTGACGCCTTTCAGAAAATTAATTATTCCAATTAAATGGACAATTAACTCAACAATCTTAAATTATGTGACACCTTTTGAATACAACAGGAACAAATTAGTCAACAATTAACAATGAAATAAAAGCGTACAGGTAAGAAAAGGTTGATTAGCTGTTGACATCTTTAATTACTCTATTTCTGTGTTGGTTTGATAGTCTCAGGCCCTCTGCCCTTTATCAATTGTGAATTATTAATAGTGTAATACTGATGTCTAATCTAATTTAAACAATGACAATCAAGTGAACAATTAAGTGGATAGTTATTTGTGGTTGTGATCGTGAGCCGAAAAAAACAGCTTAAAGTGTAAATCGTGAGCTTTACCAAACAGCTGACAAGAGGATTTCTTTTGTTGTAAAATTTTAATTTCGGTTTATTTTGTTTGGTCATTTACTTGGTTTTCTTGGTTTAAATTGTGTATTGATTTTGTTTTATATTACTCTAAATACTACGAAAAATGGCCTTATCCAAAGGTACATCTCATTACAATCGGCAAGTTTGGGAAGATTCAGAATTTCCTATTTTATGTGAAACTTGCTGTGGTGATAATCCCTATTTGAGAATGATGAAAGAACAATATGGTTCTGAGTGTAAAATTTGTAATCGTCCATTTACCGTTTTCCGATGGTGTCCAGGTCATAAAATGCGATACAAGAAAACCGAAGTATGTCAAACCTGTGCTCGAGCTAAAAATGTCTGCCAAACATGTTTATTAGACTTAAACTATGGACTTCCAGTTCAGGTACGAGATAATGTTTTGAATATAAACCAAGAAATACCTAAAAATGAGGTAAACCGAGAGTATTTTAACCAAAATTTAGATGCAGCAGTTCGTGAATCAGGTAAATATCATTTTTAATACATATATAAACTCCAACATCCTTAATAAGCCATCATTTAAATACTTTAACCTGTGATTGTTTTATCCCTCCAATTATTATATAGATCCAAGTGAAGCCTGGGGACCTCATAAATCTCAACCTCCAAGTGATGTTTTAGCAAAATTAGCTCGTAATTCACCTTACTACAAAAGGAATCGACCTCATATTTGCTCTTTCTGGGTTAAAGGTGAATGTAAAAGAGGAGATGAATGTCCATTTAGACACGAGAAACCCTCTGACCCTGAAGATCCTCTATCAGAACAGAATATTAAAGATCGTTATTTTGGTAAAAATGATCCAGTGGCCGAGAAACTGTTAAAAAGGGTCGCTGAAATGCCTCGACCTCATCCACCTGAAGATAAATCAATCACAACCCTTTATCTTGGTAATGTCGGTGAAATTATGACAGAGAAAAATTTACGCGATCATTTTTATCAATTTGGTGAGATCCGTTCAATTGCTATTCTAAGGAAACAAAATTGTGCATTCGTTACCTATGTAACTCGAGAAGCTGCTGAATATGCTATTGACAAATCTTTCGGTAAACTTATCATTAATGGACAGAAACTTGTTATCCGTTGGGGTAAAGCTCAAGCCAAACGAGGAACCATGGGCGAAGGAGATAATGAAAAATCTAAAATGAAACTTGCTCCCGTTCCTGGATTACCAATTGGATCACCTGATTATCTTATTCCTACTCCTTCAACCTCATCTTCAGCTCCATCAACATCATCATCATCCCAAGTACCAATGATTCACTATCCATCTCAAGATCCAAATCAAATGGGCTCACATGCTTTAAAATAATGAACGAAAACAAAGCAAATTTCATCAAATCTTTTTTCGTTTCATCATTTAATCGATCAATCAATCAACTACCAATTTTGTATGCTTATTTTTCTGTAGCATCAAAATTACAGCAATTAATCTGTAATTTGTACAACTAAATTAATTGCATCGATCTACACAAAAACCAACTTATCCAATAACATAAGTGTAAATAACAATAAAAAAAGAAATCAAATCTAAATTGATTGTTGATTGATTTTCAAATGCTGTTAAAAAAAACTAAATTAAGTTAAATTAACTTTTCTAATGATTCCAGACATTAAATTTGATTCGCAATGAATCAACTCACTAATCAGTTGCATTCCAACAATTTAAGATAATTGAAATCTTGAAAACATGATGAAAAACTCGTAGAAAATTAATTTATACTTAATTTAATTGTTAATTGTAGGAGTCGAAAAAGTTTCACAATTTCATTTGATTTCTTTAAATGAAAACTTATTACCTCGATTCCAAGACAATCAGTTGATTAAATAATCACATCTATAAAGATTATTGATTAAATCTCTTGATTCAATTGTGATCAACGAACTAAACTTTAAGTCTAATCAAATTTCCGTTCAGATATTTGATTTGATTAATCATCTTATAAATAATTGTTCTTTAATTAATCTTTGATAGAAATTGATTTTTGTTTTTAATTTCCAATGGTAAAACAATGTATCTTTTTTTCTTGATTACGATGAACATTAATTGTTCACAATCATTAATAGTGAACTTGATTATTGCGAAAGTGATAATAATATAAAAAGGGAAGTTGAATTTTTGACAAAGTCAAAGTTGATTAAGTTAATCGTTAAATTAATGAATCAATTGCGTGATTAATCATAAAGATCAGTGATTGATCCTGAGCAGAAATCAAAAAATGAAATGTTGAACATTTCCAAAAGACAATTACAATTAATGAATTACAATAACTTCGTTAACTATGTAAATTTAAATACACTTTTCTCTGCTAATTAAAGTTTGTGGTGTTGATTACAATATAGAACTTTTAATTGTTATTTATGATAAATGGAAAATACAATACGACCAATCAAAAATATCGTGAATTTGACCGGACCGAATCAATTATCCATCGGTGGTTAGCAATTAGATCAACACCAATATTAATTGTCCAACTACTTAATTTGATTGAAAAATCTGGACTCCGTTGGTGCTGTACCTTTCGTGGGTACCAACAGGTCAATCGGATAACACGGAAACATTACATTATCGGACTGACCCTTGATTTCGTCGGCTTGTTGACCATCGCCAAAGGATTTGTCGCTCTCTTCGTATCGAACTCAAATGTCCAAATGCATCTGGGTGACCTGTTCATCGGCTCATCGGTTCATAATATCCAAACAATGATGATCAATATGCTTCTATTATTGGCCTGTGGTCTAAGATACTTCGGCTTTTACACTGAAAGAAAAGGTAGAGTTGAACCCTTGACACTTTATTATCGATTAAAAAGTTCGGCAATTAATTGTGAACAATTTAAATTAACACCTTCTCATTGTTCGAGTATGAGAAAAATTTTCTATATTTTTGGACAGTTTTATCTCATCGTAACACCGATAACTTGTTTCGCAATTTCGACCTGGATTATTTATGCCTTTACACCAATCAGATCAACTTTTCGAGTACAATCAGTTTACTGACCACTGGTCTATGGACGATTGTCACTTGTACCATTTTCACCTTAGGCGCTTACCCGACAATCTGGTTGTACATTCACATCTCAATGATAATCACTTTTGTCACCTTTTCATTGGCATCTAATCAATTATTTGGTAAACAATTGATTGTCGATAAAGATCAGACCAATGAAAATGGTCAATCGGTCAAATATTTAGTCCAACAGAATAAAATTTACAATTTTATCTATCAGATGACCATTGGAATGGGTCAAGTTTTCTGCTACGGGATAATCATCGTAACGGGTACCGGTAATTTCGCAATGTTTGTCAGTCTTTTCATTGGAACGGAAGTGGCCTATTCGATTATTTTATTCTCGCAGTTGGTTGTATGTCATTTAATTCAATTGTTATAATCAATATGTTATCATCATTCACAGCGAACCAGGTAATCAAATTCAATTTTCCACAATCAAATCAACAATCTATTAATTGGAGAAACTTTTTCCCTCCCATACAAATGATAGGCTTTAATTTGCCAAAAAGTTAACTATCAAATCGGTAGACATTGTAAACTGGATTTAAAGACGCAATTAAAGGTTAGTATTAAATTGTTGATCTATCAGTTAGTTAATTGTTCAATCATTAGCTTTTATCAACTTGTGAACGAATCAATATTCACAGAATTGGATTCAGTCTTGGAGGACTTTACACTTTAGATTCATATCATTTTCTTTTGGTAAGTTAATTACAATTAGCGAAAATGTTAAACAATCAAACTTAATTGCTAATGGAAAACCAAAACTTTTAATCAATAGTTTCTATTGGAAAATGGTGGACTCATGTTAATGTTTATAACCAATTTAAACAAAAAGACACAATAATCAAAATCTAACCTTAAATTGTAACTATTGAAATGAAAAGTGTTTATTATAATTAACTAAAATCTAAAGAGATGTAATTAAATTAAACAATTTAACCCTTTACCATCAATAATATGAGAAGAAATTAAAATTGTTGCAAAAATTAAGCACAACCAAATCAAACACTAACATTGGCTGAATTATTTAATGAATGGTAATGATGATGGAAATAAATTTAACTAAATTGTTAATAGTTAACATCAGATAATCAAAACTAATCATCATAAATGTAAAAAAAAGTTATAATCATAATGATAATAAACAGAAAACCGGATTTAACTTAGTCCGGTCAAAATTTCATTCTTGTTGCAACGTTATCATTATTATTTCCCATTCTCATCATGATTACAGGGTGATTAGTTCATTTTGGCGATTTCGATAACGATAACTTTATCCTGATGAATTTCAGATCGAAACTATGATTAAACCGATTCCAGAACAATTTGTAAATTGCTCAAGAAACTCAAATTCGTAACTACTCCAAGTGAATTAGTTATCAACTAAATGAGAATCTTTTAAGTTTAAATTTCATTTTTTCAGCGAAAATTGTATCAGAAAAGTTTAAACAATTAACTAATTGACTTGACAATATTTAATCACCAATTGCTGATTAAATTAAACAACAATCGGATGATTGGTTTTAATTTTATTCTCAAAAGAAAAGCTCGAACCAACTAACACCCTGTAAGTTTTGTTTGCTTTTCTGTTGTTATTTTCATGATAAATTCATTTCGCCATCAGTAACTTGCTAAGCAAGACCATCATCATCATCATCATTGGAATAATCTTCATCCCTTTCAACCGATTGAATTTTTTTCTTCTTCTTCTTTGAAAGTGAAACTTGCCCTTAGGCGATCAGTTTGTGTCGTTGCTTCTGGTGATTCTCCTTTTGTATTTCTTCATAGAAACTTTGTCCATTCTCCAATCTAAATCATCCAAATGAACAACAATTTAAACAAAAATGTTCACCCAACTAATATAATTCGTAATCATCCTCATCATCATCTCATCAACAATTCTAATTAACTTATTAACATAAAGGTAACTTTCAGTTTTCTTACTAAAAAGTGTTCACTTTTTTTTCTTGTTTGTTTACCTTTTTGTCTGTAAACATTTTCCACTCTTTTATTTGTTCATTGTCCTTGTTTTACCTTTTCTTTTAATTGTTGTTAACCATCATTAACAATTTAATTATATTGTGATTCTCTACAATTGATTGTGTTTAGATTATAATCAATTAAATGGTTTCTCATAATCTTCTCAATCTAATATTTGGATAGAATTTAAAATTTTCACTTTTCTCTAATTACACTTGTTACTCCATCTTTTTATTAATTATCTTTTCATCATCAATTCTTTCACTTGTTAATTGTTCTTTCTAATTAATTGTTTTGGTCAATCAATATTCTAAATTGTGTTAATCAGGTAAGAGAAAATTCAATTCTCATCTCTAGTTTTCTTTTCCTTTCTCTCTATAACTTGACAAAACTTTCTCCTAATGGGCTTGGTCCATTCTCTTCTCAAATCTTGACCATCTCCAATTTCCATTACCGATTTAAATTATTAATCATTTTCCAATAATTACCATTAATCCCAATAGAATATTGATCCTGATTCTATATTCTAATCAATAGATCAACACACATAAACTCAATTGAACAACATAAACCAAACGATCTGAATATTAGGTTAACCTATCAACTTGACCTTCTTTCAATTTCTCATTGAAATGTACCTTTGTTTTTGCTTAATTTTAATTGTTTTCTCTTTAATTGTCCAATTCTATTGATAGAAATTTTTAATTGCTCACAATCAATCAATTAATCATTTGATGGGAAAAAGAAACACGAGAAACAATCTTATTGGGTAAGTTAATTTATCTCTTTGTTTACAACGTTGATGGTCATCAGATTACCATTGACATGATGGTCACTTTATTTTTGTTTATCTGGTTTACCCAATGCTGGTTTACCTGTGTAAATTGTTGCCAAATGATGAGATATCAGGTCAAGTAATCGTACAGGTAGATAATCATAGAGAGCAACTCTTATCCTTTCCAAATGACCCATAACCCTGTAAGCTGGTGATACAAATGAATGAGTGACCGCAATGACCATTGTATCAACAACCGCTTCAACCTGAGGTCGAGCTGAATCAAGAATAATGTTCAAGAACTTTTGATAACCTTCAAGATAATCTTGACCATAGTCCAGTTTTACCGAATCAGGTGTAACTTTCCATGCTTCGTCTAACCATTTTTTCTGTACCTGATCATTGGTTAAATTTGTTTTAAACAAATGAGGTTCAATTGTGATCACATCGATTGACCATTTTTTCAATTCTCGTCTTAGCCCTTCACTAAATGAAATGACCGCAGCCTTTGAAACCGAATAAGCAACCATACCGGGAATACAATGTCTACCAGCAATCGATCCAACGTTAATTACCCTTCCACCAATTGATCCACTTGATCTGATCAATGGTACAAACCTTTGTAACCCGAATTGTTCCCAAACAATTAACCTCCATTTGCTTAGTGAAACTAGTCATATCTCCCATTTCAATTTCCGTTGAGATTAAAATACCAGCGTTATTAACGATAGCCCATAAAGAACGGCCCTTAAGACCATCTTCGACAATCTTAATCGCTGATTTAACATCTTCATCGCTTGTTACATCTAATTTCAACACTTTGACATTGTTTCGACAATTTTTTCGCAATTGATTAGCACCCGAACCTTCAGGCTCAAGGCAACCAGCAAACACATAGAAACCATAATGAGCCAATCTCTGGGCTAATTTATTACCGAACCCGGTATCACAGCCAGTAATTAGAACGGCCTTGTTTTTAGCATCGATCATTTCCTTTGGAATAACTTGAACCTCAGGCCAAATTAGATTTCCAATGTTAATCGAAAGGTAAACAAGTGTCGTGATTAACAATAACCAGGTTACCGATTCGTAAACTGTTAACCAGGTAAACAAAAATAACACTGAAAAAATGGCCAAAACCAAAGCCAAATAATAACCAATAGTTTTAATCATTTTGATGCTTATAAATGAGAGGAAAATATTTTATCCAATCAAAACAATTAACTTGGTTAACAAAGTTTTCACTAATGATCAAAGTTGATGAAAGAAAAATTAATTGTGATTCTGTTAGTAAAATGGTCAGTTAAACTTTTGGACACGTAGTCAAAATGATTTAACTTTCAGACTGTTGTTAATAACCCAATCAACGGAAAACCAGACTGACCTGATCCAACTTGTTATCGGGGCTGAGATCATGAAAGAAAACAAATTATTACTGGTTCCTCTTTTCCCCCTTTTCTCAGCATCCTCATCCTTACATTCATTACAAGTAAATATTAGTATTACTAATTATTGATTCATTTCTCTAATTTTTTTTCCTTCTTAGTTAATGTTGATTATTTTACTTTGATTTGTATTGAACGAGATGAAGCAAACTGATCAAATAATTGTCCAAGATAATCAATATGAGCTTGACCTCTCACCTTGATTGAGATACTTTAACCAAACCATTAATATGGTCAAAGAATGGCAAACTTTTATACTCCTTTGAGAATCAACGAATCAATTAACGTACAAACTATTCATTCGTCTATTAATTACTTTAATAATCATCTAATTGCTGTTACAATCGGCAAAAAATCATGCAGAAACTTCAACTTTTCATCGTATTCATAATCTGTAGCATGGTTATGGTCATTTTACAAAATGGACTAAATCAAACATGGGATTGGTCAAGATTCAGTAATTTAATGTTAACGCCACGAAATGTAAACTCTAATGGTAATCATTAACTCACAATTAATTGTATTAATTTTTGTTTAATCGATTGATTAACTTGGAAGTTTTTTCGTTTCTTTACTTTGAACAGAAATCGATGTCGAGACTAATCTTGTAAGGATAAAAAATCTTCTCGCCAATCGAACGAGTAACTTTAAGATTTACCTGAATACCGAGAATTATGATGTACTAAAAAGTCTCGAAGATGAAGTTCGATCGAACCATAAGAAGCGCAAAAGACCCAAACATCGTTCGCGTCTATCATCGTACCATAAACTCTCATCAATTGAAATGCTGTTGAAAGTTTTATCGACTCGTGATCATCGTCGTAACTCATCTGGTTGGCTTGATAAACTCAATCGTCGAGCTTTTTTCCGTACCTTTGACCCACTGGCAAGTTTCCCGATAATCAATGGTTCCTCGGCCTCATCACCTATTCGTTACATTCTATTGGTCTCACATTTCCGTGCGGGTTCATCGTTCATTGGTGACCTTTTACAGCAAAATTGGAAAACATTTTACTCCTTTGAGCCTTTACACTTGTTTCAAATCAACTATAAAATTCAAAGTGATCAAGAAAACGCTGCTCTCTCTTTACTATCAAACATTTACTCTTGCACTTTCACCTCTGAACCAGGTTATGTTAATTGGATCAGAAAAGAAGAGAATAAATTTCTTTTAACTTGGAATCGTTTTCTGTGGAGCCTTTGTAATATTCATCGCTATTGGTGCTATGATCCCGATTTTATAAGTCAACTTTGCCTGCGAACCAAATATCGTGTAATCAAAGTGACCCGTTAAGTCTCGAGTCAACGGAAAACTTTTACAATCTTTACCTAAGTCAATTGACCTTAAAGTCGTCTATCTAGTTCGTGATCCTCGTGCTGTACACAATTCCGTTCTAAACTTGAATGGTGCACCAAAACACCTTGTGGCGATTACAATTTAATGTGACGATTATAATTCTGACCTGGTTGCCTATCGACGTTTGGTCGACACTTATGGAGATAAAATCATTGCCATTCGACACGAGGATCTTTCCCTTGATCCTTATGGAGTAGGGAAAAGTTTATTCACTTCTCTTGGATTACCTTTCACATCGGCCGTTCGTCGCTTCCTACGAATCAATACTGAGGCCGAATTACCCGATAATCGAACCATTGATCCATATTCAATTCGACGAAGCTCTAAACAAGTAATAGCCAAATGGACGAAAGATTTAAATGGATCAACAATCAATGAAATTCAAGATAAATGTTCAACTGTTTTCCAACAATTAGGCTACAAACCGATTGATTTAAACTCTCAATCTATCGAAAACAATTCAATCAATTTTAACGATATACTGGAAGATAAATTACCTTTACCTAATTCTTTATGATGATGATTAGCAAATTAACTTGTAAACAAATTTAGCTAAAGGTAATTACACTAATTGTTGACCCAACGATCTCATCTTGCCATTTTTGAAATGTTTTCAATGTGTTTCCATTGATTAATATCATTCATATCGACAACAATTAATGTACAACACCCTAAAATTAGACAATTACTAAATTGATGTAATAACTATTTACTATCAATTTAATTCATTTGCTTTTGTATTATATTTTGTACCATATTAACTTGTCATTCAATTAACTATTGTAATTGTTGTGTATAAATTTCATTATTATGTTTAATCATTGAGCAAAATTTATTTCCTTTTGTAACAAATATTAACGACAACAATTGATATTCACCAAAGGATTACTTTAGTTAATTCATCACTAATTGCAATGAAAATTAGTTTGAAATCATGTTTACCTTTCAGGTAACAATTTAAACTCAGAAAAGGAGATTAATTTAATTGAAAGAGTTGCGGAAAATTAACTCTTCATCAATGATAATAATAAAACTAATTGTTTGTTTCATAAAATTGTTCATATACATTTAGATGGAAAGTTAATCAATTGAAACAATTTCGATTGCAATTAATTATCGTTGTTTACCCATTCGCACATCGTCATGAAAAGGTAATTTATCCAAATGTGGCCTAACGTGGTCGATAAATGGTTCAGTGTGTTTCCGTAAAGCGGGCATCAAGTACTTTAGGTACAAATCTGTCCGATCGATACACTGGTCAAGGGTAAATGGACCTTCCTTGGTTCGAAGTATTCGAGTGAACGATCCGCAAGTGTCCAATTCGGTGAAAAACTTTTCGGCAAATGATCTCACCGAAAACGGAACATCACAACTTAATTGTAACGTTAAATCAGGCGGATTAAATTTGATTACTTCGATCGAGTGGCAGGTTACTTTTCGATGGTGTTGACGATCACCGGCTACAAATCTCATCTGATTGTTAATATGTAAGAATTGATCCCATGATTTAATTTCTTCGTCATTAGATTGATCATAGTCTCCGTAATAAATTCCTAGTGGACGTAGGAAACGGGCTTTTGGCAGTGCTTGAATTTGAGGTCCAATAAATGATCGGGCCACTTTTCCACATCCTCCAGTTTAATATGATCAAAGGTTTACTGTCAATTGTTGGACTTTCAAAATAATCGGTAATCGTTGATTGTCCCATTCGCAGATCAAGAGTGTAATTAGAATCACAGAATTTTAAATATTTCATATAGAGATGGTTTACCGATAGCGATTGCTAATAAATGGAAAAAGAATCAAGTATATTATTAGTTAATTGTCAACAAGGCAACAACAATATTCTGATCAAAGAGAGACTTTAATTGTAACAATTAGGACTCTAATTGTTGACTTACCTAAAACTCGGATGCAAATGGCTCCAGGGCTCGATAAATATCAACATAGGGATTGTACCATTGATTATTCATTACGCATTCTAAATAACAATCAACAAGATAATTAGAAATTGGATTAAGTTAATTTGTGGATAACAATTTAATCTAAATTCGTGAAATAATCAAATAAATCTCACCATAAGTAATGTGAAGTTTAACCCATTTAATTATCGTATAATTGTTGATTCCAGGCTCTTTAAAGAAAGGGAAAATTCCTTTAACTGTTGGGGCCAATGATTTACTAATCATAGTTAATAGCAAAATCACAATTAACACCAATTAAGGTTCAACATAAACGAGAAAATAATATAATTACAATGAGACAATTAATCTTAGATAAATGTAATCAACTCTATGGAAAAGTAAAGCCCATAATTAGTTCAATTCGTAGTCCGAAATAACAATTAACTTTCATTTAATTGTTTCCAAAATTAAATGAGGAAAATCAACTCTCGATAATAAAAAATCTAAACAATTAAAAAAAGAGAAACAAATAAACAAAATCACTAAGAAAAAGGGTCCATGTGTTTGAGAGACTCTAACATGTGATCCAATCATTGACTCTCTCATTGGAACAGCTGATTGAGAGAAATCATCAGTATCAACATTTGAAGACTCGAAATTGTAATTAATTAATTGCGATGAAAAAAGCGAGACAAAATTATATGATTGTTTTTAAGAAAAAAACAGCAATTGGAAAATTTTAATGCGAAAGTCATTTTTTCCCAGAAAGATTTGTTTAGATAGTTAATTGTGTTGGCTGAAATTGATTTACGTTAAGTTTGAATGTTTATCCAGTTTTTTTTTGTTTGATTAATTATCGATTGAAATCAATTGTTGTTACTATTATTGTTGTGGTTATGGTGGTGGTTATTATGGTGGCTATTGTGGTGGTTTTTACTGTTTTCTCTATTATTATTAGAATTAGAGTTATTATTGTTATTGTTGTTGTTTCGGTGATAATTTGATCTTCTATTGTCTCTATTTCGCTCTTGTCTTTGACCGTATTCTTGGTAATTCTTGTTCTGATGTTCTTGATTACGATTCTGATAACCAGTTCGTTGTTGTTGTCCAAATGATCCGGTTGATTTAAAGTCCCAAAGTCTTTCATTTTGATCAACCAAATTGGTTACCTTGTCAGCCAATTGTAAAGCTAATCCTTGAGTTCGTGAGGGTTCAGTACGATGCATGATCAGGGTTTGAGTAGGTTCATCAAGAGAAGCCTGAAAAAAAAGGGTAAACAAAAATACAAGAGAGAAAAAAAAAGTTTTGTTTAGAATATTGTGAGAAAATATGGAACATAATTAATCGCTTTAAAGTGTAACTGACCATCAATTCTTCATTGATTATCATTTTTGAAATAATACTATGGACGATGTTTGTTTCCAGGTCAAACATTTCACTGAGAGTTGACAGCGAGATGACATCGTAAACATGGCTGTAGGTGAATAAATAAGCACGAAGAGATTCCTCTCGAATCTTTTGGACCAACATGTTTCGTACTTTATCAGCCTGATAGAATAGATTCCAAACTTTGGTGTTCATTTTATCATTGATGATAAAATCTCTACATGCTTTCCAATTACCAACTCTCATTGCCTTTGAAGCAGCAACAACGTGCTCTCTCATTGACTCAGGTAAACCAACTAATGGTTGCTCTTCATTTTTCCTCAATTGATTGTAAAACGAACGAGAAATGACCTTTTTTCGTACACTAAATTCATTCGCAGCCACATCGGGTATTTCCAAAAGCATCGCTGAAACCAAATAGACACATTCAATTAACTCTAAGTTAATGTGCTTATGGAATGGTAACAATCGACGTTTCTCCATTTTCTCTTGTTCGGGAGTTCGCTCTTGCGGTTTGGGTAATAACCCTTGGGCCAAAAGTTCTTTGGCACGTCCGAAAAATTGAATATCCAATAGGTCTTGATGAGCATCTCGAATGTTACCATGTCGAAATGCACATAATCCAAGTTGAACTAAGGCTCGATTATAAATGATTTGTAAAGGTATATCGGCTTTTTGAATATTATGCTGAAGTTGAGACATAAGCATAAGATCACGAGCTTCAAACCAATTGTCATGAAGAGCATGATGATAGATGTGACATAAAATTGCCTGAGTTCTCAACCTATCGGTTGTATCTTTAGCGTAGATAAATTTGCAAAGTCGATCAATAACTTCAAGACTTGTCTCTCCAATTTCAGCTTCTTCAGGTTTAATCTCTTCTGTTTCACCAGGAGCAGTTTCTTTTTTCTCTTCTTCTTGTTTAACTTCAGAATCAGAATCACCATTGACAAGATTTCCATTCTTCTGTTTTGCTTGGATTTGCTCTCGCTTTTTGAATACAAGTGGATCAAATTTAAAGTAAAGATGATCAATTCTCAAAATGTAGGCTCGACACAATTCAGAAGATGTACCTTTCTGATGGGCTTCAAGGTAAGTTTGAAGTCTCTCAATGATTGTGCAAATATTTTTCTCATCTTTTAACCTTTCAATATAATCAGGTGAATGAGGATCAACCGCTTGAAGAAGTTTGGTAAATTCTTCGTCCATTTTTTCAACAAGGGTTAGTGCACATCCATGAACACGGTAAGAGGGAAGAGAGAAACTTTCAGATTCTTCAGCGATATTTTCACTAACAACAATCTCTGGATTCTCTAATAGAATATCGAACAATGCATTGGCAAATTTAAGACATTTCTGCCAATTTTCCGACTTCATACAAGGTGAGACATTGGGATTGTATTCAAAGAGAGCAGCGATAATACCGAGGATAATTTTAGTGTCCATTGCAGGGCCCAATTTATGGAAAGCACAAATTTCCAGTAATTCAACAAGCATTTCAATCTGATCACTACGATGGATCCTTTTTTTACCTCTCATGGCAAGAATTTCAAGTAATTTCTTGATAACTGATTGATGATTTACTTCTCATCTTTACTGAACATTTTCGGCTTCTCACCTAGAATACCACCTCTTGATACCTCTTTCCATCTTCCCTCATCTTGTTCCTCTTCATCTCCATACATACGCTGTTTACGATTATCACCTGAGAATTGGTAAGAAAAATTTGGAAAATTTAAATTGATCCTTGATTAAATTGAATATCAAAGGGAAGAGAAATTTAAATTACCTTCTTTGGGTTTTCTTCTTCGTTTAGCAGGTCCTTTGGTTTTGTCGATATCTCTTTCGAAAACATTTTAGCCCGATTGCCACCATACTTTTCGTCATCACTAGAAAGTGAACTGTCATCAGAATCACCTTGCCAGTAAGTCGTCACTCTCATCGTCATCTTCATCATCCTTAGCAGCTTTGAGTTCCTCCTTGGCTTCATCTTTCATATCCTTTTCCGAGGGTTTTTTAAGAAAATTCATTTGATCATCATCAGAATCACTTTCATCTGTTTCCTCTTCTTCAGATTCTTCCTCTTTGTCATCATCAATTGGATTTTCTTTATATTTGTTAATCTCGTTTTCAAAGTCTTTGTTATACTTTTTCAACTTTTGTCTTAAAGTGGCCAAAGATTTGGAATTTTGTTTGGACATAGTTTTACGACCTTCTCTATCCTCCCATGTTTCATGGACAAATTGTTCCAATTCAACCAAACACTTCAAATAGAAAGCTGGTATCTTGTTGTTTTCATCTCTTTCAATGACCAGTTTAGCTTTTTGAAAGGCACGAGTCAAATTTTCAAATCCACTGAGCATTTTTGAAATATCCTTGATCTTTTTGTGATTCCTGATTTGCCTGATGATTGTATTAAGCTCTTCATACCGTTTTTCCTTAGCAGTACGAACAACTCGCTTTGACTCTTCCTCTTCATCACTAACAGGGAAAGCTCTGTAAAGATTGAGAACAAAGAAATAAAATTGATAAGCAAACCAGAGAGAGAGAGAGAGAAAACAAAATGCCGGCTCAGGCAAAAAAAGAGATAACCAAATGTTTTCCTATACACAAATACTAATACACTAAACTAAATACTCTGCAAAAGCCCACAGAAAACTAGCCCATAGAATATATATAAAAACATATTCAATCAATTTAACAAATTAACTAAAAACAAAACCAAATTACAAGATGATTTTAAGATGAAGAAGCAAAAATAAAATCTAATTAAAGACAACATGGTGAACCCATTCAATGAATGTACTTACGAGGTAACAGCCAACGGACGGGATGGTAAAATATCTGATTCGGCCTCCGAAGACTCAGTCTCCGAGTCGGAGACTCCTTTGAAGAAACGACCACTCATGATGAAATTGTTTAATCAAAACAATTAGAATAAACACAATTAAATTAATTAAATTAATTAGATTAAAAAACAAAACGTATTGTCACAAATTCTGAAAAATTTTTTTTCTCACGTGTACATTTAGGGAACGTCTCATAATAATCAATCTTTTTAGTTCTAAATTTAAATTGGAAAAATTAATTAATTGTTGATAGAGTTTCATTTGATTAATGGAAAATTATTTAATTATACAAATTGCAATTTAAATTGTATCAAAAATATAGCAATGGAAAATTTCAGGAGAAATAGATTGTTGTATTAATATTAATTTCGAGTTTGTTGTTGTTGTTTTGTTTTTCATCGAAAAAATGACAAAATTAATTAATTTTTATAATTGATTTAAGATTTAACTTAATTGACGTGAAAATTGTTTCAATCTCTATGAGATGAAGGAAATCTTCATATCGTAAATTGTAATAATTGTTTTGATCGTCGTTGATTGTGATTGATTTTTTCATGATGAGGAAAATTGGAAACTAATTGTACAGGAAGTTAAATTGATGATTAATCAGACAATTTATATTGTGATGATGAACAAAATGATGTCCAAATTTCCTCATTAAGGTGATTATCGTAATGATTCATATGAATGATGGTAGATCACAATTGATTCCAGTTCCAAACTCTCTCTTTCTCTCTCTTTCCATGTCAAGTAATTAAATTTTTCTGAAGTAGTTAATCATTGAACCAGTTTCAAGATCCAGTTTTATATTCAATTAGCCAAATTGTACAATCATCAGCAACTTGAATGATTTAAGTAAATGAATTGAAGTAAACAAAATACATCAAGAGTAAAGTAAATTTTGTTTGTCAATAGTAGTTAACCATAGCAATAAATTTGAACTAAATAAATTTGATTGTTAAGGAAGGAGAGAGAGAGAGAAAAAACTTGATTAAGATATCACAGTTTGCAATTTTATCCTAATTGTTCAAGTTAATCGTTAAACTTTTCCTTTACTAATTGAGTGGTGAATTATTGTATCGTCCAGACAAGAACTGATTCTTGGAATTGTCTACTTGTATATTTGAGATCAAAATCAGGGAGAAAAGTTTTAAACCCAGCGGAAGAATTGGTTCCAAATAGGTCGATAACATTACGATTGAGAAGACGTAAACATTGATGAGTAAATCGATCTAAAAATTTCATGTAACTGGGACGTAAATGAGATGGACAAATAACAGCGACATAAAACAATTGAGAACAGGCAAGAGCGTAAGTTAAACATATAATTGTTTCCGAGTGTTTAATTTTACCGGTGGAAACATTTTCCCAGAAAAGTGTTTCCATCATTTTCCAGAAAATGTATTGAGCAATTGTTTTACTTGGATATAAGGCCATCGACGATCCAGCAATCATACCGGCCACAGTTCCGTGCCAGTGTTTAGATGAATTGTCCCACCATCGTAAAAGACAACTACAAGCTTTGAAGGTTGATGAAAAGAGACCCAAGAAAAGGCCAAAGTTGATATTTTTCCGATCTTTAAGACCTTTGGTTAAACTTGACATTGAGGTTAATGATGATGGTGATCGTAAGATTGTCGGTATGATTGAGATTCCAGTCCAACCGATGAGAAATCGTTGGAGAAAAGTGGTAATTGAATAGCGAAGACAAGAAGATGAATGAGGACAAGATGGATGATTTTTAAAGAGAAATGAAGATAATCCATTGACAGTTTTAACAAGTAGAGAACGAATTGAATTTGATTTGGAAAGTTTATCATTGCAACCAGAATTTATTCGAGATGATGAAAGAGTTGATTTTGTAGAATCAAATTTTTCCTCACATTTTTCATCACTTTTACGTTCAATTGTTAACGGTTTGTTTCGAGCCAATTCATCTTTACCAATGATTGATTTAAGAATTGTTGAGATCATGTCATGTCCAATACCATTTTTCTTGATAAAATAAACCAGAATTCCAGTGCTTAATGCAAATAAAACAACTTCACCATTTTTGATTGGTTTGATAATACGATTGAAACTGCGATTGAGAATAAAGTTTCAGCAGCAATATTAGCGACATAAAAGGCCAATGGTCCTCTTCGAGATGGTTTCTCAAGGTGTATCGCCATGTAACTACCAATAATTGAGGGAACATGACCAATTAGTGAGAGATAAAGTTTACCCAAGGATCTGTAGCTGAAGCAAAATAGACAGAGAACTGCGAAAGCATTAAAACCAAGGAATGTTGATGAACGTAAAATTGATTTAACTGTTTCCCGGAACGATTTATAATCATAACGACGAGCCAACAATTGACCAAACAGGTAAACACCAGTGTACATTTTAAGTCCTTCAAAAAAAACCGAACCACCAATGTCAAGAGCTGCACGGGAACAAAATGGTGTCCAAGTATGTCCAACCTCGTAACAATTAAACTGTAAAACCATATCAGGAAAAGGTAACAATTTACTAAGTATCGAAGGCATTTTCAAACAATTCCAATGAAACAACAACAAAAAATAATAAACTTTAAGCAATAAAACAACGACAAAAAGAGAGGAATCCAAAGTTGACAAAACCAATTTGTCAAATCTCAATCAAATTGAAGATTCCAAATTTAGATGATGAATTGAAAGGATAAGATGAGAAAATACTTGATGAGTAATTAGTAACTTTAGAAGATCAGGTAAATCATCTAGGGACATCAATTAAATTGATGGAAAAAAAAGAGGAAAAATTAACAATAGAAAAACAAGTTAATTGAGTAAATTAACTCTCAATTCCGAGAACATGAAACAGGCAAGATGAGAAATAAATAGAGAAAAGGTTACAAGAAGATCACAATCGGCGATACTGAGAAAATGATGACGATGAACACAATTGCGAGACTAAATCACAATTTAGATTGTATGTTTACAATAGAACACAATTAAACAAAAATTAAAAAGAGAATCAAATGAAAATGGAAACGATGAAAGAGAAGGAGAAAAAAAAACAATGAATCAAATATTGGCTAGAGAAAGAGAGTAGCCACCATTTTCTCATCAACAATAATTCAACTCCAATCATCTAACTAATCATTTAACACACACAAATCATTTTCCATTCTTTATCGGGATTTTGATTATTTAATCATCGAAACTGGAACCCGTTAGACAAGAGTGGACAGGCCATTTTGATCCAACACACGGAGAGAGACCAGGACGTTAACTCCTTAACCTAAATAAAAGAGAACTTAAAATAGTTTCTCTCTCTCTCTTTCTCTCTCACCAATTTCTCTTTTTGTTTCATTTTTTTCTTCTTCTTCTTCTTCTATTTCATCTTCATCATCATCTTTCCATCAATCAACTTATTGGAAAGATAAATAAGAATAATTGAGTAAATAAAAGAACTTGATAACAACAACAGTTGGAAAAAAATTTTCTTTTCTTTTAATTGAAAACGAAAATTAAAAAAACCTCTAAGCCGAATTATCAGCCGATAATAGAAAAGAAAAGAAAAGGCTTAGCCGAAAAAAGAAACTCACATGGCTTAGATTTAGTTTGTTCCAAAAGTAAACAAATTGTTAATTTTATTTTCTTCCTCTTTTTCATTATTTTCCTTGCCGATTTAATTAACTCAATTATTTTATTCTATTCTAGTTTTGGAATATTTTTTTATCGCAATTGTATCAACTAATTGTGTCTTAATTTAATCTATTGATTTGTCTGGATGGTGCTAATCCTTTAGGAGGTTAAATTGACTTTTGACAACATCGACACAGAGACAACTGTAATTTAGTTTAAATTATTGGTCAATATTTTATCACAATGTCATTGGAGAAAACATCTTGTGAAGGTAATTAGTGTTCTTTTTTTTTTGTTAATTTAAATTCTATTCTATTTTATTTGACTCTTTTTTCTTCTATTATTTCGTTGTTTTCTTTTTAGATTTGAAGGCGTTTGAAAGAAGATTACAAGAGATTGTCAATGGTATGAATTCGGATACGAGAAAATATCGATTAGCTTTAGCTTTTACAACTGCTTTCACTACTTATGGAGCTTTCCAATGGTTAACTGATCCATTAACTTCAAGAATCTCATTGTTACAATCACTGCTAAATCATCCTTTCTTCACAATTAATGCCATCATATTGATACTCTTATTTGCTCTTACTAGTATTCATAAGAAAGTCATCTCACCTCAAGTGTAAGTATCATTTTTAACCGTTAATCGGATTAAATGATTTGAAATTGATTATCCTTAATTATTGTCATTTGTTTTCTTTTGATTGTCCATAGGATAATGGCAAGAGCTCGTCAAGTTTTGTCTGATTTTAACATGACCTGCGATGATCATGGTCGACTTGTTTTAAAGCCAAGACCGAAACCCAAATTATGGTAAATGTAATGTGAAAATATGTATACAGTTAATTAAAGGAAAAATTTATTATTTTCTCAGTACACACTTGATTAATTTTAACAATTTATAGAAAATGAAAGATGATTAGCAAAAGGAATTGTTTATTCCTCAGCCTTGGCACAATCTTCACAAGTTTCAGTCTTGAGACAATCAATTGAATCTCAAATCAGAGAAAAGAGAGTTTTGATCGTTAATTTCTCTGATTAATCGAAAATTTTGTCGACAAAAAATAATTACAATCGGATTAAAGAGAAGATCATTTGCCAAGAAATCAGATTGATTAAAGAAAAATCAAAATAACGACCAAGAATCACAAAAATAAATTAGGTGAAAGAACTCATCAAATTAGGTAAACATTAATTGTTTGGACAAAAAAAAACTCGATTAAATGTAAATCTCGTGACAATTTAAGTAAATCTAAAGTAGGATTAATTTTTTCTCTATCTTTTGGACACTAGAAACAATATTTTCATTGGGATAACGGGAAAGTGTTTTCAATTTTTCTTTAATTGTTTCCACCGCTTGAACACCAAATAATCCAGAGTAAAGTGTTTCCGGTGAGGCCACTTTATTAATCGTTGGAAGATGAGTGTGTTTAATTGAACGTCGAAAAACAGATTCAACCAGATTACTGATAAATGAACATAATCTTATTAAAATTTCCTCATCAGTTGTTGGAATTAGTAAATTGTAAAGGTTAACCGGACATCTAGCAGCCAACAGGTAAACAATTGAATTTTGATTACATGAAAGATTAACCAAAATTTTAAGAGATTGTAATTGAACACGAGTACAACCCTTTTCAATGAGAACAATTAATTCATTTAGATGATCAAGAAAATCGATATGATTAGAATCACGATGAGCTAAATTGGCAAGTGCAATTAATGACCAAGTTAATTGTAAATGTGATGCAGTTTTCAATTTATCCATTAATGGAATGATAAATGGTCTCATTAATTCTTGTGATCGTTCACCGTTTGCCAAATTACCGATCGCTTGAGTTGTCGAGGCAATTACGGCCGGAATTGTACTAGAATTAAGTAAATGTAATAACATAACTAAACAACCGGAATCACAGATTACATTGATATTTGGTGTGAAAACCGCACAATCAGCAATCACCGTTAGTGTTTTAACCAGAACCTCATCATCATCACACATTAATAACATCCCAAGGACACTGGCCTCTTGTTGGGATAAATTGGGATTCTTTTGACCAAACAATTTGTCCAATATTTTCTTATAATTAATCATTTCTATTTCACTTGGTGGTTTAATTATTGGTCCATCAATCAAATGGTCACCTTGGTGTAAATGATTGTTATTGTCTTTTGATAAATTGTCAACCGATCGGCTCAAACTATTTTCCTTAGATAAATTGTTCGGACTTCGGCATCTTGGTGAATTTCTCGGTGTATTATGGGAACTTAAACTGGTACCATTGGTGGTAATTGATTGAATTCGACCTGGTGATCTAAAGATAACATTATTTGCCGTTGATTGTAGATTAAGCTCCTTGATACGATCTTGGATTGTTTTAGCCCATGGACCCCACATTTCGGGAGGTAATTTGTACCATCTTTTGTCCTCTTTAATGGGAACCGAAACTTCCGTTTGAACACATTGACTTGACTTTCGGCCATTTTTATTATTGTTATTATTGTTATTCGTAGACGATGATTGATCCTTTGAAGGTGAGAAGACATTACGAAGAACCGATAAGCTAAAGTAAGCGAATCCAGCAAATAATGCTGAACATACAACTACTTTTTTCGCATTATCATGTAGATCCATTTTCGATATGAAATAGTTACAGGAAACCAAATACAATTAAAAGAAAGTAAATTACAACCGATAAACAATTGAAATGGTTAATCTTATCCACAGAATTTAATGACATCATTGTTGTATCTGTCCAGTGGTTTCGCTTCAAAGATGAGATTCAAAGTAAATTCAGTTTCAGTCAAATAATCATCCAAATAGAATATGAAACAATTAAAGATGAGAGGTAATATTGAAGATGAAAAATTAATCCACAATTAGAAGAACAGGGATAACAAGATCAATTAAATTGTAGAATTTTTTTAAATGAGATCAGAAAAACATCCAGAGTAATATAGAAAAAGAAAAAAAGAAAACACGTTCTTTTTGGTGGATCACTTTGGTTTCTTTTCTTTGGAACTAATCTAATTGTCGATTAATTTAATCTTAATTAGAATCCAATGGTTTAAAGGTGAAGTTAAATTGTTTTGGAAAAAAAAAATTATTCTAAAATAATAATTCACAATTTAGAAAATAACAAATCACCTTTTCAAAGAGACAATGTTATTGTTTTTGTTTTCTGGTTTATCCAAGACAATTAGTATCAATTAACTAACTAAATGTTTAATTATTGTGGACACTGAATTAGTTGAACTGATAATAAACATGGTGATGGTGATAATTGATGATAATTAGTTAAATGATTAGAGGTGAACACTGAGCTAAATGGAAATGTTTTCATTTCTTCTTGGTTGTTTTTCCTACTAAGAGAATTTAATTTTCTCTTTCTATTTTTTTTTCTTCTCTTTCTTTTTTTCTCTTTCTCTTTTTGTCTCATTTAAAATCTAATGGAAGAAATAAAATTAACCTTGTTGTCTAATTATTTCTTATTATTAGCAAATCCACAGCATAATTCATGGTCGATTGCAAACAATCAATAAAAAATTAAGTGTGAAAAAGAAAAGGGTAAATCAACAATTCCTTTGATGTAACTTGTTGTTAAATCTAATTGAACACAAACAATCAGTTGATCATTTTGGATCAACATGGAAATTAGTTGATTACGAGAATTTTTTTTTCTCTTCATTCTTAACCAATGATGAGAAAATTAAATTTCTAACTTGATAAGTGTTTCTATTATTGGTAATTGTTTTGTTGCCCGAAAAATCAAAATTCAATTTGGTCGGTTTGGTTAACTACGAAAGTGAAACATTGCCAATTGATTGAGTTTACTGAAGATGAAATCAATTCTTTAATTGTTAGGATGGATTAAATTGTTGGAGATGTTTAAATTGATCCTGGATAAGTGAAGACAATTTAAGAAAGATAGATTGAGTAGATTCAAGTTAATTAACCAGGAGGCCATGACATTTGCCTTCCACCAATAACATGGACATGAAGATGGTAAACCGATTGAGCTCCCTGAATAGAATAGAAAAGCAAATCAAAAAAGAATAGAATTTAGAACAATAGAAAGACAATTAACATGCAATTTAGAGTAGAATTAATTAACTAACCTCAACACCATCATTGATTACAATTCGGAAACCTTTTTCCAAACCTTCTTGCTTAGCAACTTTCCGAGCAACAATCAACAGATGACCAAGAAGCTATAGAAAAGCACAAAAGAAAACAATTAGTCAATTTGTCGCCATTTTCCAAAAATCACCAACAGAATTAATCAATTGTCTACTTACTTGTTCATCTTCATCCTCTGATTTAGACAATTGACTGATTCTCTTTTTAGGAATAACCAGAAAATGTTTAGGTCCACAAGGACTAATATCATTGAAAGCTACACACTGAGAACAAAAAAAAAAGGAAAAAGAAAACACCAAAGAGAACAATTAAAAAGAGTAAATTGCTGGTAATTAATTTAATTCTTCTTACCTGATCATCTTCATAGATGAAATTAGTTGGTATTTCTTTCCTCAGTATCTTACCGAAAATTGTATCTTCTTGATTATCGGCCGATGATTGTTGAGCTTTTTTCACTTCCTCACTCATGTTTCTTTGTTTGAGACAAAACGACAACTGAACCAACCGTTTCCTATGCAACCAATTTAAAGCTTCTGAATCTTTGGTAACCAACTGTAAACAAATCTCACCTTAAATTTAAATCATTCTAATTGATTAGTGATTAAAATTATCTACTTACCTTGTGAACATTAAATCTACTTGATTTGTTAACATCCAAATTAACTAAACTGTGATAGTGTTGATTGTATTTTCCAATGTTATTGTTACAATGCCGACGGAATAAATAATTACTCAAGGTAATTAAATTTCTCATATTTTCCTCTCACCTTTTAATTGTTTACACTATTTATAGATGTAAATTCACTTTAATAACAATCAATTGACTTCCAATTCTTGTTTATTAATTTAAATTTAATTCTCTTTCTCTCTCTCTCTCTTATTTAGATTTGAAAGACAACAAGAAGGAGATTGAGATACAAACAGAAATGAAGACCATATGATTTGGATTGATAATCATAATTATCTACATTTAGATTATTTTATTGGATTGGATTAAATATATTCTTTGGACAATTTGAATGATCAAGCAGCACCCAAGAGGTAAGCTAATTGTAGGCTACCATGGAGAGTGAAATTGTCCCATTGTTGTTGACAGAATTGAACTCGTTCTCGATCAACTTTACCGAAATCGGCGACATTCAAGATCATCGCTGATTCATCGGAGTCTAAAGTTTTCCATTCGGTTCCACCAACACTTGGAGGTTTACTGTAATGATGAGAAAGAAAAACGATAATATCAAGAGGAAAATATCAGCATTATCGTAATAATAATATCGTTTTCGTAACTTGGTGAAACTTACCCGAATTCAGCAAAATGAGCCCAAATTTTCATGACCTGTGAACTTAAATCTCTTTCAGATTGGGTAGCATTAGGGTCAAGGAAAGGAAACCAAAGACGAACGGGATTTCACCGGCATGACAAGTTCCCATCCATGAACTTGCATCACAGGGAGGAAACATCGTCGATTTGGCCTTTTGTGTATGATAATATCCGAATACTTTACCACTTTGCTGACCATTTTTGGCAAATTTAAGGCCAAACATATAAGTTGGACAAAGTAAAGCGGTATCACTATAAGCCTTTTCCAATTGTGACCTTAAAAAGGCGGAATCACTGGTTGGTGGGCCGAAATAAAGTTCACGGAAATAATCAAGAGATTCTTGTTTGAAAGTTAACGCTAAATAACCAAGAGCAGTTTGATAATCCATTGGTGAAGGATCAACTGGATTAAACAGTTTGGCGTCAAGTTTGGCCATGAAAATGGAAAATTCATTTTTCTCAGTACCAACCAATAGATCAACCGAATCATCGTATAAACCTTGATCGAAAGCTTCGTTTACAGTGAAGGGAAGAAAATCATCTCCGTAAACCCAACGGAATCTAAGTAAACCATCAGATTGATTGTCAATAATTTGGTACCGATAAGCCTTGTAAACAGGTCAGAATATCGTGAGATGAGGCACATGAGGTTCGATTAAGAACTGACCAAGCATTGCCAATGAAGAAACTTGGATCATCGACTGGATTGTAAATCGTTCCTGATTCGAGAATTGCTCGTTTGAACAGACCTTTGGTCAGTGGGGACAAGATATGAGCCGAAACTGACATGGAACCAGCAGATTCACCAAAAATGGTCACTTGATTAGGATCACCGCCAAATTTTGCGATATTTTCTCGAACCCATTGCATGGCCATAAGTTGATCTCGAAGTCCAATATTGACGGAATCCTTGGTTCGCCTGCACCGAAATACATGAAACCAAAAGCATTAAGACGATAATTATGGGTCACCAGGATCACATCTTCGAAAGGTACCATTGAAGGCCAGGATAGAATTCATTGCCCGAACCCATGGTCAAAGCACCGCCATGTATCCAGAAAAGAACAGGTCGTTTTCGAGTTGCCGATGAATTAAATGTGGACTGGTAACATAGACATTAAGGAAGAGACAATCTTCATTTGTTTCTTCAGGTTTAATATGTTCACTTCGTTGTGGACACGAAGCACCATAATTAGTTACCGATCTCACTTCGGTCCAGGGTCAACTTTTTCCGGTGATTGGAATCGTAATGATTTGATCGGTGGTTTAGCATAAGGAACACCAAGAAAATGAGCGACTTTGATTCCGTTAAAATCAACAAATTTGCCTTGAACGGGACCACTTGAGATCGATACGATTGGTGTTAAATCATTGGCACTAATTAGTGTCCAAAGAAAACACGAGAAAATAACAAACAACATATTTAGTCAACAATTAACTCGTAACTTATTCAAGTTCAATTTAATTCAATGTGATCTCAGCAATTAACTTACGTTTATATATCCAATCTGTTTTTTCACTGATTTTCTGATTAACTATCGTTAATTTTTCTGTGTCAATTAGATATTGGTTATTAATTTGTATCAATTGTATTCCCATTATCATCTTTGATTGTTATTATTGATTGTATAATTTAATTGATCAACAATTAATTTCAAAGTTGTTGTTTTTTCCCAAACAATCAATTACAATGAAAACCTTTCCGTCAATTGGATTCAATGATTAGATTGGATTTTCATTGATTAGCTAAACACAATTAAGTGATATTGGTTCAACTGGAGCTTGAAAACCTAAATAATGAAATTTAAATTAATTGGTTAGAGCACAAGAACTGAGATTATCTAATCATAAATTAATTAATCTAATTGCTTTTAAAAACAAAACATAAAATTCAATTTTCATTGGCTTAATTTGTTTAATGGTTTAAGCTTCTGATTTGCATTATATTAAATTGCACTTTTTTCATGTTACAATTAGAATGGATGATTAATAAATTGTTGGAAAAACAGTTGATTGTTTGGTCGTCAATTTAGTGTCATAACGATTGTTCAAGTTAATTGATCTTGATTCCGGCAATGTTATTAATAGTAATCAACCAAGAGTTTTTTACTTCATTTCCAAAGGAAAAGATGATTAACTTTGACGATTTTTTGTTAACAATTAAATTATAGAGATGGTAATTGATGGAGGCTTGATTGTTGTTCGTCCATTAAATTGTTGTCTTCGATAATGTATAATAACATGTTTGGATCAAATTATTAACTTTAAAGGAAACAATTCGTTAAATGGCTTCAGTTGCAATTTGATAGCAATTTAAGATTATCATTATTAAGGTGATATAAACATGATCCCAATGTAGTTGTGGTGGTTAATTTGATTTGTTTATGGTTGAGTGATAAATATGAGAGTTAAACTGGAATCATTACAATCATCAGAAGTAATGTTTTTTTTATCCTAGAAATTGGTTTAATCATCAAACAAGATGATGATGATTTTTGTATCCCCATCCAAAGGCACAGGTAATAATGATTTTCTTTTGGAGGTAAATGTAATTTCAACGATTAAGTCGCTTTGGTTAATTCATTTTTTAACATGGAATTTGGAGTAGCCATGATGAAGCAATCGATTAGTTGAACGGAGAATTGATCGAATTGGGTAAATACTTTAAATATGGAATATATGTGTTTCCTTATGTGATTGAAGGAGAAAAAAAAATGTAATAACAAGAACATGATCTCATATCTTTCTGGAGAAAACAACAAAAGTCAGACAGCTCATCAGGAAATGGAATAGTGGAAGATTCAGAAAAATGATTCAGGTGAGATTGGTAAATTGATTGACAATTCCAAAGTTAAATGACGATGATTATCAAAGATACAACAGGTTGTTCAACAGGTGGAAATCGATGAGCTCGAAATGGGATAATTTTGGTCTTTTCTTTTTCAATAAGTTTCAGGATCAGAGTTTATCGGGTGGCCATTAGTCTAAACATTTCGCCTTTCAAGGCAACTATATGATGACGAATGAGAGAGAAGTGTTAATTAGAGGTGTGTTTTGATAAATATTGAGATAAGATTCTCTCTCTCTCTTTCTGAAGGATATAAATATATGAACATGAAATGAGATTGGAGTTGAATTTGATGCCAGGTCTAAGCTGGTGAGAATCCACCAGCTTGGAATCTCATGTCATCTTGATTAGCTTTCTGTCCAATCAGTATTACACCATAAATTGCAGTGGTTCCGAGAGCACAAAAGAAGCCAAAGAAAAAGAATGGTCCATAACAGCCAAATAGACAAGGTAAAATGGCTAATCCCGCGTAGGTGACAACTTTAATCCACAAAGGTTTTGCCTCGAAAAATGCTGTAATAGGTTGAGCGAAACGGATGAAAGAGACAAAAGCAGGAGCCTCGATAGAAAGGACAACAATTGCTCCGAAAACAAGTGAAAGTCCAGTAGGTACACAGGCAATAAAAGAGAAAAGACTGAGAGAGGTAATTATCCCAAAGACAACTTGGAGTAACGACAAACCAGTAACAATTTGATTTCTCCAAGAAACGACCCACCATTCAGCAGGTACTCCTTGTTGACTTTCTGATCCCATCATGATGATACCAAGGACAAAAGAGTAAAACAATACAACAGGTCAAGTAGAATAGTTTTAATAATTTAGGTCCGTGGGGCAAAAAAAAATAGAAAACAGGATCAGGTTTAAATTCTCAATAAATGTTCCAAAGAGAAAAAAACTGAGAGTTGGCAGTTGATGGAATTTTTGGTAGAAGAGAAGCAAAAACAAATAGAATTTCTCTTGCAAATTGATTTATTGAAGAATTTACAAGTGAAATAGGAGAATTCCAATCCAGATGGAGAAGCAAGAAATTCAGTGATGATTCAGGGAGATAATTGCAATATAGAATTAATTATAAACAGAGCAAAATTACAACGCCTTTGCAAAGGGAACTGAAGATGAGTAACAAACTGGAAGATTTGACAATTAAACCACTTGCATTACACATTCACAACAAGGAAAATCTCAAGGTTATGATGATCTTTTCAAATGATAAAAATAAATTTCTCAATAATCATCAAACCAGGAAGAAAAAGCCTACAAAAAAAATTAATTACTAACGAAAACAAATCAACTAAATTAATTTAAATTGAGAAAATAAAAAAATAAAGTTTCCAATTGTTCCAACGTTAACCAAAAGAACCACCAGAGGAGTAAC